CTTGGCACTCTATGGGGCCGTCCCGGGGTCCTCTTGGGCAGCATTGGAGCCAGCAGAGGGCCTTCGCGAAGCGATTTGGCGTTGCCTGGGATCGATCTTGAGAACATCTTGGGCCACCGTGGACGTTCGTGAGACCGACAAGGAGACAATGCCAAATCCTTGAAACACGCCAAGCAATATCAGCGGTTTTGGCCGATCGGGGTCCCCATGATGGCCCTCGTCTACCTTTCTGGGAGCATCTGGGGCGCCTCCAGGGTAGTCTTGCCTTGTTGGGCTGTCTTGGGCTGTCTGGAGCCCCTCGAGGCCGTCTGGGGGGCCTCTTGGGGGCCAGCTGGGGCCCTACTGACGCACTCTGGGACCGTCCTGGAGTTCTCTGAGGCCGCTTCGGGCCCTTCTTAGGCAGTCTTGGGGCCAGCTGGGGACACATCGAGAAGGAGACACGCTATGAAGCTTCAAACAATCAATAACAGACACCTGCCAGCACAGCGAAGCCAACCGAATTGTGATCAAAGCTGGTGGCACCTCTTGCAGCACACAGATAAAGTCGGAAGCTACGTGCGGGAGAAGACACTTCTTGTGGGAGTCAGTAGCAGCCAAACCAGCTTCCCCACCCCCCTGTCTAGCCTGCCCCCGCGAGGAGGAGGGAGGGGGCAGCCCGACGGCTCCCTGCCGCTGGAGCTTTGACCCCACGTGTAGATCGAGCAGGGACCGACCGTCCCGGCATTCCTGTAGTCCTACCACAAAGTGTTCGTAGAACCCCAAAATGTTCTAATAGCAAAAACAATATGCTTAGAACATAAACCCGATGTGATAAAACAAGACAGACTCCGCCAGAAATGCTCTAAGAACATGGCGTGGAAACCACAACAGGCTCTTAGAACATGGTTTGGTAGGGCTACAGGCGAGCCAGGACGCTTCGCCACTGCTTGACGTCAGAGGCGGCAGCTTCAAAGAAGTGGACTCGGATTCGGATTTGGAAGGGTCGCGAAGCAACGTCAACGACTGGACAACTCGGGAGCGCGTCGCTGCTCCACCCTAGGAGCCAGACCTCTCTCTCTCTCTTGAAGGGGCCCAAGGACACACAACTAAATACACACAAATCACAGGATTCCCCATATGTTCTTATACTTCATGGGTTTTTGTCTTCCCCCCCCAACTTCCCATAGTTTCCCATATTTTCCTGGGAGTCGACGATTAATTTTGCCTGTGTTTTTTCCCCTCCTGATCTCTCCCTCTCTCTCTAAACACACGCGACATACACTCCCGACGCTTCTTGGTAATATGAGGCGGGCCACAGAGGGAGGAAGGGGACGAGGCGGGAGAAGGGGGGAGAACAAGGAGGGGGGAACAGGCCGCCCCCCCCCACGCTCTTCCCCTCTCCCTCCCTCCCTTTATGGAGATCCCGACCCCTTCCCCGAGGCCTGCCTGAACATCTGTTTCGCCATGGGCCGCTCATCTGCTGCCCCCCAGGCCCGCAGAGGGGCCTCCAGAGGCCCAAACCCGTGCACCAAAAAAACACGCCGCGATGCTGTGGCGACGCCTGCCTGGCGATCTGGGCGTTCCCCTCCTCGGGCACGTCGGCCGGCCGACCCTGGGCCCATGATCGGCGCGTGTGCCTCCCTGGCCCAGCATGGGCCAGGCCGGGATCCAGGGCCCCGGATGGGCCTGGCCGGGATCGGCGAGGTGGATGGCGCGGAAGCGCAACACATGAGCTTGCGACGTGTGATTATCGCGGCGGGCCCCGCTTCCGCACAGAACCAGCGCACCGCGTCGCCAGACCGGGCCCTGGCCTCATGTTTCGGGGGGTACCCTCCCCGATCCGTGGATCTGGTGCTCACGCGCCAGGCCTGTGGATTTCTATCCATGCCAGGATGTGTCCCAGGATAGTCCTTGGCGTCTTGGCTCCCTGGGATCAGCGGTCTCTGCTCATGTCCTTGGCCGCCTTCGACGCCCTCTTCCTGCTCAGCAGGCCTGTGCGCTGGCACGCACGCACCTGAACTACGTGCTCTCAACGTGCTCCGCCGCCCGAGGTTTCTTCTCCCCCCGTCCGCGCTCTTCCCGCTCCCGGGTGTGCATAATCAGGCCCCGCAGTGCCCCTCGGTTGCCTCCTCCGACAGCGGCCTGTTCCCCAACCGCTGCGACAAAAGAAACGCCCGAGGACAATTGATGTCCTCTGTTGGGACGCCCGAAATGGGTACGGAAAGAATGGGCACAATGCCCAACAGCAGTTCCTGTACATTTTGAACAGGATTCGCTGTCCACGCCGCCGCGGCCTGTGTCCATTCGAGACTGAAGGCCGCCTGCCCAACAGCGGCCGCTGTTGGTTAGGGACAACATTTGTTGTTGGGCATTGTACCCATTCTTTCCGTGCCCACTTCGGGCGTCCAAACTCTGGCCCTCCGCCCCCTCCTCCTGGCCGCCCCGGGCGCGCGGTCTGCGCGCAGGCACCCAGCGTCGTCCAGGCGCTGCTCCAGCCTTCGCCACGGGCCCCCCGTTCCGCCTGGCGGGGAGGAGGAGAGAAGACAAGGAGGAGGAGGAGGAGGAGGAGGAGGAGGAGGAGGAGGAGGAGCAGGAAGAGGAGTTCTTTAGTTCTCAAACTTTGCAAGACTGGCCTTGGACACTGGAAAAGAACTCTCTGGCTAGGGCTGGGGCACAGTAGACAGTGCTACGCCTCCCCCTGTCGTCATTTTTCCTTTCGGCAACCATGCCGCTAACTGCAACACCTGGTACATTGACAATTGCGGAATCTGGCAACCACTGACATGCCATCAGGAGGAGGAGAAGGAGGAGAACGAGGCGGGGGAGGACTGCACAGCCTCAAGGGTGGCTGGTCCCTGTGCTCGGGGTGGGAATGACAGTCGCACTTCCTGCACATGTTGCCCCGGATCCCTGTCTGGGGGGCGACGACGGACTGGCAGCCACTGCTTAGCCAGCATATTTGAGCAATGGTGTGAAGTCCCGCTGCGGGTGGATGACTTGCGGCACAAGTAGGCGGATCGGGTGGCAAGGTCTGTGCGCCCCTCGACGTAGAGCACGACGGAATGAGGATGCCCGAGTGGGACCAGGCAGGCGCGTTACAACAGCAACAACAACAACAACAACAACAACAACACCAACAACACCAACAACACCACCAACAACAACAACAACAGCGGAAGAACGGAGACTCTGGCCCCGGGACGGGGTCACACGCTCAACGGACACCCCGGTGGAGCAACGGACACCCCAATCCCGTGGGCTTCGTATTGGCGTTCAGTGTGCCACGGCGACTCATCCGGCCCTCAGGCGGCTCCCCTGCGCCAGCGACGCGCCCCAGTGGACAAACGTACACTCGGGGCCCGTGTCTCACTCCATCCGACCTGTGGCCTCCGCAAAAACCGCCCCTCCCCGTGTGCTGCCGCCTTCTCCGGCTCCGTGCTTGCGCTCTTCAGGAAACCTCCGAAGTCCTGAAGATCCTTGGGGTCCCCAGGGAACTTCAGGGATCCTGAGAGATCCTGCGGGATCCTTCGGAATCCTCTGGTCTCCTCACGAGTCCTGAGGAATCCTCAGTGATCCTCAGGGGTCCTCAGGAGTACTGAGGGATCCTTACGATGCTCTGGACTCCTCAGAGTCCTGAGAAATCCTCAGAGATCCTCACGAATCCCAAAGAAACCTTAGGAATATTATGGGTTCCTCCGGACTCCGGAAGAATCTAGGAATCCTCAGGAGCCCCAGCGAATCGTTGAGAATCTCCTAGGCTCCTCAGGAGTCCTGAGGAATCCTTTGGAATCCTCAAGAGCCCGAAGGAACCCTTAAGAATCCCCAAGAGTCCTCAGGGATCCTTCGGAACCCCGTGGGCTCCTCACGAGTCCTTCGGAAGCCTCAGAGATCCTCAGGGATCCTCTGGAGTCCTGAGGAATCCTTAGGAATCTTCTGGGCTCCTCAAGAGTCCAGAGGAATCCTTAAGAATCGTCTGAACTCCTCAGGATTCCAGAGGCATCTTTTGGAATCCTCAGGAGTCCCCAGGCAATCTCAAGCATCCTTAGGAATCTTCAGGGCTCTTCAGAAATCCAAGAGGAATCCTGAGAAATCCCCAGGTGCCCCCAGAAATCCTTCGGAATCCTCAGGGGTCATCAGGAGTCCCGAGGATTCATTCGGAATCCTCTGGGCTTCTCACGAACCCTGAGGAATCCTCAGAGATCCTCAAGGATCCTCAGGGATCGTCAGGAGTCCTGAAGAATGCTTCGGAATCCGCAGGGGTCGCCAAGGATCCTCTGGAGTCCTGAGGAATCCTTCGGAAGTTTCAAAGTTTCTCACGAACCCCGAGGAATCCTTAAGAATTCTCTGGGCTCCTCAAGAGTCCAGAGGAATCCTTAACTGGGCTCCTCAAGAGTCCTCCGGAATCCTCAGAGATCCTCAAGGGTCCTGAGGAAGACTTTGGAATCCTCCGGCGCCGTGAGGAATTCTCAAACATTCTCAGGGATCCTCAGGAGTCCTGAGGAATCTTCGGGGATCCTCAGGAGTCCCAAAGAATCCTAGATAATCTTCTGGGCTTCGACGGAATCCTGACGGATCCTTAGGAACCCACAGGGACCCGCAGGGATCGTCAGAAGTCCTGAGGGATCCTTGAGAAACCTCTTGGATCTTTAAGCGTCCTCAAGAATCCCTGAGAATCCTCAGGAAACCTCAGGATTCCGAAGGATCCCTTAGGAATCTTCTGGGCTCGTCAGGATTCCTAAAGAACCTTTGAGAAATCCTCAGGAGTCCGGAGGAATCCTTCAGAATCTTCTGGGCTCCTCAGGAATCCAAGAAAATTCTTAGGAATCCCCGGGAGCCTTAAGGACTCCTTCTGGATTTTCTGGGCTCCTGAAGCTCCTTTGGGATCTTCTAGGCTCCTGAGGATTCCTCCAGATTTCCATTGGATTCCCAAGGAATCCCATGGGATTCCTGAAAATTCCATCGGGTTCCTAAGGAATTCCATAAGAATCCTAATATATTCCATAGTAGTCCCCCTAAGGACTTCCACGGGGGCCCGACGGAATTCCATCGGATTCCTAAAGGATTCCATAACATTCATAAAAAAAAAACTCAGGAAGCAAGCCAAGAGTGCCAACGCCATCTCCGGCCCCGTGGGAGCCCCTGCCGCCGCTGCCCTAATGCCAGCACCTTCTCCGGCCCCGTGGGGCAAGCCCGCAGTTGTTGGATCTCTGCTTGCCCTTAAGGGTTGGGCTTGTGAGACGGAAGAGACATTCAACAACAAGTAAAGGCCGGTGTCTCCGTTCTTCCGAATCACAAAAGCAGCAACAACAACGCAAGGACACCCTCCGGGGCCGGCCCGGCGAGGCCCGGGGAAGTGCGATCGCCCCCGGAGCAGCAAGCGCATACACCTAGGCCGGGCCGGTGTTGCTGTTGTTGCCCAGGGGGGTGGGGGAGCGTAACGCGCAACGCCTCTGTGGCATTCTTTTATTATTTGTAAACCCATGAGCCACAGAATCTGCGAGGACGCCCCTAAATACAACAACGTGTTCCTACCCTCGGAGCCAGTGTGGCCGCTGGCGAAGCGACCTTCTGGGGCTTTACAGTAAGGGGATTCCATGAGAGTGGGCCCACGGTGTTTCCTGTAGGTTTCCTAAGGGACCCCTACAGAACCCCATGGGAGCCCTGCGGGTTTCTGTATGTTTCCTTTGGGATCCATACAAACCCCCGTGGGAGCCCGATGGGTTCCTATGGGTTTCATCTGGGATGCCGACAGGACCCCATGGAAGCCCTATGGGTTCCTTTGGGTGTCCTATAAGCACCACGCATGAACCCATAGGGCTCGTATGGGATTCCTCTGGGAACCCAGGAACCCAATAGAAACCCACTACTAATACGATTACAGCTCTGACTACAATAACTACTACGACGACGACGACGACGACGAACACGACGACGACGACTACTACTACTACTACTACTACTACTACTACTACTACTACTACTACTACTACTACTACGACTACTACGACTACTACGACTACTACGACTACTACTACTACTACTACTACTACTACTACTACTACTACTACTACTACTACTACTACTACTACGACCAGTAGTACTACTACGGGGGCAGTAAAAAGCGACCATCCGTCGATATGATGAGGTAATGGCGTTCTGCATTAGAAGTAATGATCGTGCGTGTCGTACGAAACGTGTGAGGGGTGTGCCGCGAAACGGGCGCGGGGCCAGAATACGCTCAAACAGGGTCCTCCTGGAACGGCGGAGTGTCCATTATCTTCGCCCGCGCGTGAGGCCACTGTATCGTTTCCATTATCTTCGCCCGCGCGTGAGGCCACATTCTCGGTCCCATGAGATTCGCCCGCACGTGGGGCCACATTTTCGCATTCATCTGTTACAGCCCAAAAATCGTGTTCGCCCTCCCCCCCCTCCCCCCCATGGAGCAAAGCTGGGTGGAGGCGGAAGCGCCGACCTGCCCGGCCCACGAGTCAGCTTTGCACTTCGGGGGGGAGGGGGGGGAGGGAAAGAGGGAGGGAGGGAGGGAAGGTGGAGGAGGCAGGAGGAGGAGGAGGAGGAGGAGGAGGAGGACGACGACGACGAGGAGGAGGACGAGGAGGGAGGAACAGCTTTGCACTTCGGGGGGGAGGGGGGGAGGGAAAGGGGGAGGGAAGGGGGAGGGAAGGGGGGAGGGAGGCAGTGGGGGAGGAGGGGGGAGGAAGAGGAGGGTGAAGGGGAGGAGGAGGAATGAGGAATGAGGAATGAGGAATGAGGAATGAGGAATCAGGAGGAGGAGGACGAAGAGGAGGAGGAGGAGGAGGAGGAGGAGGAGGAGGAGGAGGGAGGAGGAGAAAGGAGGAACAACTCTGCACTTCGGAGGGGAAGGGGGGGAAGGGAAGGAAGGAGGAAGGGAGGGAGGAGGGAGGAAAAGGAGGAATGAGGAGGATGGAGGAGGAGGAGGGGCGACGAGGAGAAGGAACGAGGATGATTTTGAAATGGAGTGCGAAGGAGTGCCTCTGGGGAGTATATCCAGAGGCTTTCGGGCGGAGTGTGGACGACTGCGAAGGATTTCAAATTCGAGCGGAGGCCTCTGGGGAGCACCTCCAGAGGCCTCCAGGAGGAGTGCGGACGAATGCGGAGGATTTCAAATTCAAGCGGAGGCCTCTGGGGAGTGCCTCCGGAGGCTTTCGGGCGGAGTGCGGACGAATGCGGAGGATGTCAAATTCCAGCGGAGGCCTCTGGACTGCCTCCCAGAGGCTTCCGGGAGGAGTGCGGACGAGTGCGGAGGATATCAAATTCGAGCGGAGGCGTCTGGGGACTAGTGCTGGAGGCCTCCGGCGGGAGGATTGCGGACGAGTGCGGACGATTTTGAATTGGAGGCTGGAGGATGGGAGGGTGGGGCGGCGGGCGAGGGAGGGGGGAGGGATAGGCCCGGCGACAAAGAAGCGACCACATCTTCTTTGCGAGACCTTGCGTGCAGAGGCTGTGATATGATTCGGGCAGGCCCAGTGAGGCAGACATGAA